AGAACTGTACATAACGGCTCATAAACGGCTGTCTCAGCCAAGAGAGCGAATCAAAACAACTGTATCGTGTCGGGCATGATGTCGTGCATAATAAACGAATTATACGCTGTATTACTAGACACTCACGCAAGACGTGCGAGAATCTGCCGATCGCATATGTTTATTTACGATCGGCGGCCGCTGCGCATTATAATATTGCACAGGCTCGCATGGATTATTGCCGAAAAATAAGAGAGTCTAGTCGAATGATGGGGGCTTTAGCACTGTGGGGGGGGGGGGGGGGGGGAGAGTAAAAGGGCAAGAGTAATACGAAACTACGCGCAAAATGCGCGGTCATGTGGAAAACGTCAACTGCAGAAATTTCTATACGACTGTGATCGTTGTCTGCATAATTATGAGCTTTTTATTGAGTTGAAACGTAAATTTGTACCACAATTTTTTTGAAATTTGTGAATCCCTCAATGCCTTTTCTAGTAGTGCATATAGTTTAGCAGCTAAAAGTGATGTTGACAACCCCCTCAATTTTTATTTTTTATTTTTGTTTTTTTTCAAAAAACTGAATGGTCCATGACCTCTGAACTTACTTGGAATACATTTTATGACCTACTAGTTTTGTATAAAATAAAGTTCTACTGAAAAATCGATTCTTTTTCCGCATTTTGTTTCTGTTCAAAAGCTATATGTATTATATAAAGCACTATATAATATAAAGGAAAAGATATTATACACATTGAAGCGGCTACCTATGCTTAAACGAATTTTTCGAAGGTTTTCGTGCATATACCATGTTCCAACTTAACAAATTTTCTCTGGAAATTCCTACATCAACATTCTCTTTAACCTTGATTGATTAAGATCGTTATTCAGCCCAGACTCCTTTAGAAAACAGAATTGTCAGTTTTCCTCAGGAATTGTTGTATACAGTCGATTTCATCCCGGATTAGGCGGAACATTCCACGAGGAGCGGCGCGTGCGCACTGCTAGGGCTTCGCGAGCGCATAGCGGTGGCATTTTGCCAAGCAAAGACTGAGGAGAATGAAGGGACACAGACCTCGGTCCTCAGCACGATAGGTTATACTGTAGCTGCGAAACGGCGCTGTTGCGAGGCGGACGCCCGCCAATCCAATTTCTGCCTAAAGCGGGTCGAAATTTACTGTACGCTGAGTACTGGAAGAGGAATCCTGTGTAGTGCCTCCACTCTGGAAGCTTTGAAAATCCAATGAAAATATATGCGTCAATGACAGTATCTATCTTATTTCAGAAATTGTGATTGTACCCCTAAGCTCTTTTTTTCTCCACGTATGTCCCTCTTGAAAATATTTATGCTTTGGATTGTATAGCAAATAAAACGATTGAAAATGTCTTCATCCAGTCAGGAATGCCATGGAAGAATATGCCGAATTGTTCACCATTGCAATAGCAGTAGGAAGGAAATGGGAAGAGACAGAAACAGAAGAAAGTAACAATTTGGTAAAAAAATACGATCTCCTCCAGTGAAGAACTGATTTTATAGTAGAGAGGGCAATATCATATCCTATTGAACTTGTCAAGAAATAATGCACGAATTAGCAAAAAAAAAACAGAAGTGATCTGGATGAGAAATGTTTGCGAGACTAAATGTCAAGAGATTGCCTCCCACCTCCGAATACGGATATTGTTGTGTAAACACATTTGCCCATATTTACAGACCATACAATCCATTCACTCTAATGGGTCAAAAAAACTTGACAGGACATAGGAAAAGATTTATCGTAATTCAAGACTCTCGGTTGTGGAGAAATTGAGATTCTGAAAGGGACGAAGCTAAAAATCGTCAGAAGTTGTGACAGATGGGGTGGATAATTCAATAGCATTTAATAGTTTAAATGCGATATTTTGACTGAGGAATGGAGAGTGAGGGAAATACGACTACGGAACTAGAGTTTAAGAAAGGATTCGGTGACTGGGGACTTGCAGTGACCACTGAGGAGGACGGATGACAAAAAGAAGCTGAGTAAAAAATTTCATAACGGGACGAAACAGATCATATACATTCAAAGGGCTTGCCGCTAGTTGCAGACCAGAGGCATAGCCGATTAGCCATCAGAGCACGTAACAACCCATGTTGAACGTTGCCCCTGTCGAACAGCTGTTCATCGCCTGTGCTCGCCGTTAAGCCAAGAAAGATGGAAATAGATTTGCTTGAAGCCACCGACGTCAAGAAACCGCGAAAAGTGTTGCATGAATGATGGATCACGTGGAGGAGATGTGTACAGTCGACTGAATCCCGCTTTCGGCTTTCAAACTATCACTGTCGTTGATTACCAAAGGAGAATGAGATGACTCTCGGTGCTATGGTAATGATCCATGATTGGATTTGTATCGCAAATATCAGTTGTCGCCTACAATACTCCAGCAGCAAGTTGCCAAAGTTTAAGTTCTAAGAGCCTTCCTCGCACAATTTTTTAGTGTACATACTGTGCGAAAAAAAACGAGAAGGGGAGTCGACCTGGCCGATCTTCAAAGGAAACTCTTATATGACTACGCCATACCATGGCGCTTGCGCAATTTAAACAAAAGAAAATTTCTATAATTTTATATCTAAGAAGTTTTTGCAGATAAATGAGTCAGACTTCGAATCAAAGTACCGAGTGTTCTAAAGCCGGATCTAGGACTAACAATGACTGCTGATCATTGAGAGAACTGTGATGAGTCTAGACCATCTAAATTTGATAAGCCTAACCTAAGCCTAAGGGGCCGGACATACTATTTCAGGAGCTGATTCTTGTAATTTCTGTAACTATAGCTTTTTTATGGTTCCTGGACTTCGATGTGCCGCACTGCGGGCGCTTTGCGAATTCCAGTATAAACCAGTATAAGTTGTTTTTTCGCAATATAAATTGTTGCAGGACCCGCAGGAATCATGAATAGTATGGCCGGTCCCTAAGCCTAAGCCTAGGCCTAAGCACGTTTACAACTTCATGCCGAAATAAGTTCCGTGGAGGACAAAGTCAGACTTGGATTCAGAATCCCAAATATTCTAGAGCTAAATCTAAAATTGAAAAATATGCTGATTACCGAAAGGACACATCCCTGAATCTGATAAGCCTAAGCTAAGCCTAAACGTAAGTTTAAGTCTAAGCCTGAGCCTAATCTAAGCCGAGTCTGAACCCAGGTTTAAGCCTAATCACAATTGCCGTAGAAATACATGTAATTTAATACCAAAAAAAGTTCTGCGGGATAAGTCAAACTTGATCAGAGTTCCGAATGTTCCAGAGCTAAATCTAAGAATACTGAAAGAAGAGTGGTAGGTGTAGATAGACCTCTTGGATCCAATAAATCCAAGCCTAAGCCGAGGCCTAGGCTCAATTGCCCAAAAAATGCTTATTCATACTTGATCAGAATCTCACATATTCTAGAGCACAGTCTAAGCCCAACAATAAGTTTGCTGATCATTGGAAGAACTGTAGTAAGCATAGACTTTTTAGAACTGATAAGCCAAGACTAGCCTAAGTACAATTGCCGCGGAAATGCTTATAACTTCATCGGAAAATATTTTGACGGATGAGTCAAACCTAGACTCAAAATCCTAATTGTTCCAGAGAATCTAAGACTAATAAGTTTGCTCGTCACTGGTAGAACAGTGGTAAGCAGACATTTGAATCTGATACTAACAAGGAGAGCTTGTTTAATCAAAGTGGCCTTCTCAAATAAGATGTCATATTAACGGGCATAAACCGCGTATTTCAAACCCGCCTTCCTAATCTGCAGAACGTTTATGGCCGGGAAGTCATGAGCGTTTTTGAAGCCAAAAATTGAATGTGCATTTTGGATAAAATGAGCTGCTGAGATTACTAGATTTCAAATTATGCAAGCGAGTGTCGCATATTTTTTACTTTAGAAGATTTTCAATTAGAGTGTTCTGATGATTATCACTACTCCATTAAAGAGCTGAAAAAAGTATTACGGCTACTTTTGTCCTACCAATTCAATTTTTTGCTCCAATAAGCGCTCTTAACTTCTCGTCCATGAACGTTCTGCTGATAGAGAAGCCAGATCTGGAATCAGCATTTTATGCCCTACAAGATAGTGTACATTCCATCTAGAAAGCCAATTTGACTAAACATGCATTCCTCGTCAGCTAAGCCTAAGCCTAAGCCTAAACTTAAGTCTAAGCCTGAATCTGAGTGTAAGCCTAAGGACCGAAAAAGGTTCGTAACTTCATGGCCAAAAAGTTTTGCCGATGGATAAGTCCGTTTTTTTCAGTCTGTTTGGATAACAGTCCCACAAATTCCAGATCCAAATCTACGAGTAGCAATAAGTCTGCAGGTCATTGAAGGAGGTGCAAACATGGACTTTCTGAATCTGAGTAAGCCTAGACTAAGCGTAGATAAGCGTAAGCCTAAGCCTGAATAAACTAGCTCAAAGATATCTAATCCTAAGCACAGGCTCAACTAAATACAAATATTTTGAAGACTCATAAATCGCTAATCATAAATCGTCGAAAAATGAAATTCGTAAATGTAATACCTATCTAACATTATAAACCACCGATAGAAAAGCTCTTGCACGATCCCAGGAAGAAAGCCTTGCTCCATACTAAGAAAGCAGCCTGTTTGTGAACACAAATGAGATATGCACGACCTTTTTTTTTTCGAATCGAAATGCAGTGAATGACAAGTGTTCACACACGACAGGTGCTCAAATGAGCATCGTACAATTCGCCATATTCTCCGTGATAGTACTTGATTTTGAAGGACCCCACAAATCTGTTAGAAAAGCAGAGAACGGTAAAATCAACTTCAAGAGGACAAAAATACCTTGGCATAGGTTTTGTAGGAAAAACAAATTTTTTAAGAAAATTGATTTCCTTTCAAAATTGCTTATAGACTATAACTAAACGCATATTCTGGAAATGTGTTGTGCTTTGTTCCATGTTAAAGCTGGAATTTCATCTCTACTGAGTGTTTGTGAGGAAATATGTATATGTCCAATATTTTGTTGAAAACTTTTATATTGTAGAAAATTTTAACACAACTGCATGATGTACGTAAGTGCACACAAAGTCACAAATTAGAACAAATTACATATCAATAAGATAACAGACAATAATAATACAGTTACTAATGTAAAACTATTAGCCGCCGTTGAGCTTTTAGCAAACCGGTATTGATAACCGGATATTACATCGAGGTACCTAAATGTAAAGCACTGTTGCTTGAGCACACACTGATACAGTACTCCTACCGTACCTTGGATCCAATTCGGCAATAATTTGATCAAAATTTACGACACCATTGAATACCCCTTCACCATAGGTGGAGAATGGTAATCGAGCATACATTGAATTGCACTTGTCCCTTCTGAAACAGCAGTCGTTGGATTTGAGAAGTATGAAAAATTATTTCGAAAAAAAATTTGCTCTCCGCTTCCGCCCTTCCGAGCTCCTACCTGTTACATATACATGTCGTTTGATTGAAAGTATCTTCGCATAAAAGCTCTGACCCAACTCTTCGCAACTTCAACTCAGATCGTCGGCGATTGACCTGGAAGAAAGTATATTTGAATACGTCAAAAGCTGTTCATACTACAAAATGTAAGGATGACAAAAATCAGTTTTAGAGAGTGTAAATCTATTGTGTCACAAAAGATTGCATGAGCAACTTTTGCATCTTTTCCTTGATTGTTAGATTGTTCAAACTGTCGGCAGACTTTAAATGATTTGCTAATCTGGTGCTTCGCAGTTCTTTTATTTAACTTTAATCGCGCTGAACAATTAAGAAGAACTCCAGACGCACCCCTCACTTGAAATTGCATTTTTTGGTTGAAAATCTTATTCACATAAGATGCTGACATAAAATATCGTTACACTTCTTTACAACAGAAATCAGAAAAAAGTTGAATTATAGCCGGTAAGATTTCGAAGAGTCTACTACCCGATAAAAAGAAGCGATATCCGCAAAAAAATGCTAGCATCAATTTCGCAAATCTACCTTTTCTAGGAACAAAAGCGTTGTTAAGTATGGTTGATTATCTATCCAGTACGAGAAATCGCTATTGGAAGAAATCGGACGAAATTTGTAAGTTATATTAGGTCGTTCCGAATGTAATGTCGCTTTTTTCAAATGAACGCCACATTTCATGGAATCAAGATTTTCAAGAGGTCTTGGGAGTATTTATTGCAGCATTTCATCCTCTTTCTAATGGTTGTAAATTCACTGCATAATATTCAATGAGCTCTCGAAAAATTACCAAAATCTGCGACTCTTGCTTTTTGCCATGGTCAAGTTCGGCTATTTTTCTAGATTTTTGTACTTGTTCTCCGAAGAAGTGCAAGGGACATTTAGATAGACCAAATCTTATAGGACATAGATTTATTTTTTCCTTTCCTCAGCTTGCTCCTAAGGGTTTCTGGAATCAACTTTTTAATGCCATCAAAATCCATATTTAGTCAACTTAAACCTCACAGAAAAACAACCGGCAATCAACTCGGGTGTCATTGTCATTCGACGCAGCTTTTTCTCTTCTTTCTACCAACTGTTTTTTGTTTCCGATTCATCAAGTTTTCTGGGATAAAATCATCATAATTCGGGTTTCCCAGGGCGCCCCAGGCTGTACCCGGAGATTTCGAAAGTTGCTAATCTAAAGCTATGAATGTTCATTTAGTTTATATAATTAGCGTCAAACCATAATCCATCTTTGTAAGTTTCAAAATCCGAAGATTTACTGGTGTTTGATGCATTTGTGTTCGAGGCGAGAATGCTAAAATTCGGTGGTTTCATCAAAAATCTATACAAAAATTACGACGAGATCTGGAAAGTAGAAAAAAGTTATGCTGTTTCCTGTAGAGTTTGCTCTATCCATCCATTACTTGGACTCCTTCTGAGCGTTGTTGTAAAATTTTAGAAAAATTGTGAAACTTGGCCTTCTCAAAAAGTATGGGTCGCAAATTTTGATACTTTTTCGAGAGGTTATTGAATTAAGTGCAGTGGTTATATAAGCATAAGAAAGAGTATGAAATGCTGCATCAAATGCTACCAGAATCTTCTACACATCTTTGTTCCACGAGATGTGGCTCACGTTTGAAGAAAGCGACATTACCTTCGGAACGACCTAATAGAAATCAAAAAATTTCAGAATTGTATAATAGGAACGCATTGACCGTATTAGCTTGTCTAAACGCAGTGGAAAAATTTCTTGAATCATATACAATATGGACTTCATTTTGTTTTAGATCTATAGACACTTTGTAGGGGAGGGGGGGAGGGGGAGAAGGGGAGAGGGATGCGAACTTTTACTAGGTAATAAACAGACTTTCGCACTCTTTCCTTTCCAAGCTCCCAAAGTATGTTTATTTCTTTTATGTTAATCACTCTTTTTCGTACTTCTAACCTCTTCCTCGGTTTTCTTTCATTACGGACAACCAGGAATTCGCAAATCGAAAAACAAAAAATGTGTAAAAAAAATTCTGAAATAGCAATTTTTAAATGGATAAACTTTTGAACCATGTACAAAGCGCCAACGCGCAGGTGTAGCTTCAAAAATAACCTTTACATGCTTCGCTTTTTTAAGCTACAGGATAAAATAAATTCCCCTCTTCCCAAAAACTCTTTCTCAGTTGTTCCCCTAATGAAAGCAACAAGTCACGATAGCCTATTGTAGCAGTGCAAAATACCCGCTGCGTGAGCATATTTTATATGCGCACTCACCTCCAAATCAGCGATTTGCCAAGGCGTAAGCACAACGCAGCCGGACATGTACTGATAGACGGGACAGTGCTTACATTGGCCTAAAATTGAAATTGATATTCCCCATTTCCGTGCTATTTCTTGCATGTATCTACTACTTACGCATAAAACATGCGTTTCCTTTGCATGTTTTCGCGTGCGGACCGCAAGCCCTCGCGTCGCGTTGCGACGCGGCGCGCCATAGCTGCACGCATTGCACGCACTCAACCTGAAAATGCAAATCAATCAATAAATTCGTTGTATCTTTATGTGGTGGAAATGATACGATTAGAAGGCAAAGCGTTGGACAATGCATACAAATAATTATTTATTCATAATCAAGAAACAACTATTAAGTGAACGGAAAAATGGGTATTAATTACTCCAGAGAAATATTATTGAAAAATTCGTTTACTAATCAGCACCAAATACTCACCGAATTAACATTTGCGTCCAATTCCAATTCAGTGCTCACATATTCTGCAGATGCGGACAATACGCTCAACAGCAGGAGTACTGTAGCCGATTGGAATGTACTGTATAGCAAATTAGAATGCAAAGACATCATGCAAGGGAGGGCCTCAACCCTCCCTACGAGTGAAGTGACGACGTACAATCTGAAAAAACAACTTGTTCATCAATACTTTTTTGCTATGATCGACGTCATGAGCAAAAAATCGATTTATTGATCGATGCTTGTGATATTTTGGTTCAAATAAGCGGAGGTACTTCTAAATGACAACATACAAATTGCGAGTGCAAAGTTATGCAACGAAGAGAAGGTGAGGAGCAGGACGAGAACGTTTTATCATTTAGATAAATTGAAGTCCAACAGCATAGCATGAAAAAAGTTTCCACATAAAAATAGATGGCATGTGGCCTCTGTCAAGATAGATGAACACACGTCAGACACGAACGAGAATTTTTATGAACATCTCAAGCGAATTTTGTCCAGAATCTGCAGGTTTATATAAAATAGGTGGATCTTCATGGTAAAAATTTCCAAACCGCTTAGAAACTTTCTAACTAAATAGTTAAGCATTCAAAGAAATACGATGGCCCGATATTTTTATGATTAGAGCTTTCCAATTGTAAGAATTACAGTTAACAGAAAATCATATCCACGTTTTTTGATTATCATTGTTAATTTAATATGAAAAAGTTACAGTTTACAATTACACTTACAGTTTTCTTCAAAGCGTTAAACTTCAGGATTGCGAGTGACCTAACAATATCTTCCAAATCTTCTTGGAATTTTAGCAGTTTTCAAAAATCTGATCATGAGAAACGACTCAAAATCACTATGAGAACGCTAGAGCTGTAAGGATGAAAGTGCTCGTTACTGCAAAGTTTGATGATTTTGAATGAAATTCTTGACATTTCTGAAGCTTTTTTGGTACAACAAGTATAAAAAACTGGAGTCTTGAAGTGCACATAAAATGAGAAGCACTTAGGTTTAGATACAAAAAAGTCGAGTATTCAGGTAAGTGCATTTATTTGATTATTTGAATAGTCGGATAAATGAAATAAAATTAATAATAACAATTGATAATATTCGAACATTCGAATATTCGAATAAAATTTCGAATAAGTTGTTTTTTTCGATTCGCCGAATAAACAAGTACTCAAACAAAAGTCTTTTTCATTTATTCGACTATTCGAATAATCAAATAAATGCACTTTCCTGAATACTTTAATTCCCTAGTTTGAATAAATCATTCGAATACGAATATCCGAAAAATATTCAGTTTTAAATATACAATAGAAGACCGTAAAAAATGGACAAGATAAGCGCTTCAATGGATCACAGACTCCTTTACAGAATATGCTGATGCCATCTAAAATCGAACCCCCCCCCCCTTCCAAGCCCGAGTAATATTTCCCTCTTCGAATACCAGATAGCAGCTAAGGCTTCACACATAAATCACTAATAGAATAAGAAATGCGCTACTGAATATCTTATGCGTACACAAGTATGTACATACTCCACCGAGGGATGGCTGGTTCCTGCTTAGGTTTTGCTCTAAAATAGAAAGTAAAAGTGTACATAGAGATGGATTCCCAGAAATGTTTTGGCTAGGAAAAATGGGCACTACTCATGCTCTCAGTTTTCGGAGATCTTTCCAGATTTTAGCAACCTCATAATAGCGTTAAAATTCCCAAAAGAAGCAAGGTGGCACCATGTTCCCAATATTATTTACAAATTTCAATTTCTATTTTTATTTTAAGTTATAGAAATATAATACGTGGACTCATTTGTAAAATAAGTTGTTTGCATGATTATTGGAGCACAACTCTTTCTGATGGAGGGAAAGAACATGTGAAAAGAAAGCTCTTCACTGCCGAGTTTTCATTTGTTTAGTGTTAGTCAGTAAACAAGACATTCATTGCAAGCAATAAACTGCTCCTGGGGGATCCAATTATTCTTTGTTTATTGCAAACATGGCTGTTTCACAATCATTCAGAGTCGCAAAATCTACCTTGAAACTAGCAAAGAAGAATATCCGAAAAAGATTGTTGACTTATCCATTTCGAGTAGAAATATATCATGATACAAAGTGAATCCTCCGACAAGTAGGCATATTGCCATCCAAAAGGCCAAACCATACTCATGAAAACATTTTCTTTACTAGAAGTTAAGAATTCCGCTCAAGAAAATTGCTTCATTTGTTCATTTATTCATTTATTATAAAATACATCGTGAACGACATATTAGGTTGTCCGGAAATTGATGTCCGTTTTGAATTTCAATCGCAATAAGTCATACACTTCTCATTTCCGAAAAGGTTGCAAATACTATTTGATAGAGCAAAGCAAGCTCTACAAGATGGCTATCTTGTTTTTGCAAGAGCTCTCATTAACCTCGAGTTTCGAGCAAAAAACTAAAAGGATTTAGCTGACCGAAAAATTGCGAAGAGTCGTAACTCCGTTCTTAGAAATCCTACAAAAATTCTAGCTTGCTCACGTAAACACTATCCATATAAGACATCTATATACGCCATTGCCATCTTTTTCCACCTCTTAGAAATCAAGGAAACGAAAATTTTCTTGCATTTGCCAAAGTGATGCTGTGCCGCCCCACATGAGTAGTTGTACAGGGTTGGGGGAAAGTCTTTGAACACGGTATTTTTATCGTAGTCACGAGACTAGTCAACAAATTTACATGAAATAAATATATATTGTTTATCAAGCAGTCTACTATATAAAAGCAACTTTACATTTCAAAGATCCCTCCTTTGGCGCGAACGCAGGCTCGAAGACGTTTTGGAAAGCTATCCACGGTGGCACGGAGGTACTCCACGTCGATTTCCTCCCACGCATTCTGAAGAGCGCGTCGCAGGGACTCCACAGTCTTGTGGGGACGAGCGCAGGCTTTGGCCTCAAGAACTGACCATACGCTGTAGTCAAGCGGATTAAGATCCGGCGAATACGGAGGCCATTCTGCGGGAGTGATGAAGTTCTTAACGTTGCTTTGAAGCCACGCCTGAACAACCTTCGACTTGTGAGCAGGTGCGCTGTCCTGCTGGAAGCACCAATCTCTACCGGCAAAATGGATCCTGGTCCAGGGTAGCAGCTCTTTCTTCAGTATGCTATCTAAGTACGCAGCAGCGTCTACCTTGGTGCCCTGAGGCACAAAAATCAGCGGCGTCTTGCCGTCGGAAGTGATTGCCGCCCAAACCATCACAGAAGCCGGATGGAGCTTACTTTCCACAAGGCGACCTTTGCTGTTTGCTTCTTCGAGCGACTTAGATATGATCCTGCTATTTTGGCGATTGAAAACCTGCTCCACGGTAAAAATTTTCTCGTCGGAAAAAAGGATCGTTCGGTGGCGTGCCTTGGAGAAGCGCTCCAGCAATCGGCGACACCTGTGAAGTCGGATCAACTTCATATTGTCTTGAAGTGCGTGAGTTTTCTGCATCCGATAGAGCTTCATCCCAAAGTTCACTTTCACGATGTCCGAGATGGTCCTACGACTAATGGACAGGTCTGATGCCAGCTCATTCAAGCTCCTCTGCGGATTACGGCGTATGCGTTCTCGGACGATCTTCCGGTTCGCGGAAGTGTTCGCGGTGGCCGGTCTGCCGTCCCTAGGACGGTCCTGGGTGCTGCCTGTCTCCATGAAACGGCGCAGGTTGTACCACACTGTGTTCCGCGGAATTCCGAGTATTCGAGCGATCTCCTTTTGAGACTTCCCTTCCGTGTGCATCTTCACTATCAGCTCGCGCTCTGATTGAGAAGGCATAATTCCGGTAGGATCAAGAATATCAATCCAATTTTTAGAGGGCTTTTATAGAACAGTTCAGAGACCATTCACACCAAAGATAAGATAAGATATGATATGATATGTTAAAACAAGATGGCACCAAAAAGTTGTTCAAAGACTTTCCCCCAACCCTGTATACTACAAGCCTGGAGAAGTACAAACGCAAATTTTTAGCTCTCTACAAGCTTTAGTTCTCGAGAAATTTGAATTTTGGCTTGGACCACCTGACTAAGAAAAGCCATAATCGATATTTCTCGAGAACCAAAGCTTGTAGAGAGCTGAAAATTTACGTTTGTATTTCTACAGGCTTGTAGTATGAAAATATTTATGTGAGGGCAGCACAGCGATACTTTAGCAAATGCACGAAAATTTCCGTTTTCTTGATTTCCAACAAAGGAAAAAATGCGGCAACGGCGTATAAAGATGTCTTTCGTGGATAGTGTTTATGTGAGCCAGTTAGAATTTCTATAGGATTTTTATAAACTGAGTTATGATTTTTCTCAATTTTTCGGTCAGTTGAATCTTATTAGTTTTTGGCTTGAAACTCGCGGTGGATCAGAGCTGTTGCTAAAGCGAGATAGCCATCTTGTAGTGCTTGCTTTGCTCTATCGAATGGTACTTTGCAACCTATTCAGAAATGAGAAGTGTATGACTTATTGCGGTTGAAATTCAAAACGGACATTAATTTCCGGACAACGCCTAATACCACCTTACAAGTGATTTGACAGCTTCTTGAAGCAAATATTTTTGCTTTATATTTTTGAATGTCAGATAGCTTGATTTCCTAGTTTGAAAAATAGAAAAAAAGTGCATCATTCATCAAAAAACAGGATGACTTTTATGCGTCTTTCTAGTGTGACTTACTTACTTGTCAGAAGCGAGATATTTCGAGAAGAAGAGGAAGAGAATAACTTTAGCAGATTCAACCTTCGCATTATATGATGGTGATCGATGTCTGATTCGCATCGAATGGAAAAGACAGCAAGACAGGGTGCTTTTGGTATTTTCATAAAAACTCGTGAAAAGACTGCAGAAGGACTAAACTTTCTGCAGAATGCAAACTGATATCGTGCATCTCCATTCAAGTTCTCATGTTTCCACTCAATTCTGATCACTAGCCAGTCTACAATCCTACGATGAAAGAAGCAGAATTTGCAAACCTAGTCTTTACTACGAGTCCATCAATTTCTGTGATTTCAGTCATTGTAATTGCAAAAGAGGTTATTTTTGTAGAAGCTTAATTCAGAGCAAGATTGGAAAAATGATCACAAAAAACGCTAATTGAATATTTTCGAAAGAAGAAAAAGTTTTCACAAAAGGTACCAATTTTTCCATGCAAGCGTTTGATACTATAATTATCATCA